AATAAAATAAAAATTAATAATAATGTGCAGCATGCAGAAAGAAAATATAGGTTAGATGGGCTAGATGTAAAAATTCAAAAGTATTATGCAAAATAATACAAAAAATATTAAGCATTATCAGATGTGCATTGGTTCTTATATAAATTTTGCGTATTATGCAGTTCAAAATGCTTCGCGTCAGGTTCAAAGTTCATACAATTAATGTTTTTAGCTTGAAGACTTGATTGAATTACACAAATGAAGAAAGAGTATTATTACACAATCGATTTCTTTTCTTACTTTTCGCATCTGTAACAATAGAAAATATTCTTTCAGCCTTGGCATTGGAATGAGGAAAACAAAGGACTATTTTAATTAATAATTCTAAATTTGGAAACAACTTTTTTCCGTCAAAATTTTTACATTGTAATATATTATTCCACATTCCATCTATTTGTAAAGAAGCTAACTGTATTTTTTGTTGTTCGTCAAAACTTGATGGTAATATGTCCCACTCGAAAGCTAAATCTGATATGTTAACATGTTCTACTTGCTTAGCAATATGAGTTAAATATTTAATTTTATTTCTACCTTCTTTATAAAGAGCAATTTTAGGATCTAGAAAACTTAACTGTTTAAAAAATTCATCGTTATAAGGTAGACGCTTTAGCATTTCTCGAACTGCCGTAACATAGAAGTCCAAACATTTCAATTTAATTTCTTGCGCGCATTCCAAAGATAATGTTTCTAAAAAATTATCACATTCCGGTCCTATACGTATGTTATCTATATGTTGTACATTATTATCTAAATCTGAAATTGAAATATTTTCTACATTATCGTACTTTAAAAAATTGTCGGCTAATTGACGAATTACTTGTTGACTGCTTTCGTATAATTTATGGATTAAACTGTTACGCGATTGAAATAGTGCGTTAAAATTATTAAAATAATTTAATGCGTATTTGAGAAACAACAAATATGCTTTAATGGAATTATCATTTAAATATTGTAATATATTTTCCGCGAATTTTAATTTATCTTCTACTGTTGCTAACAAAAAATAACTTTTCAAAACTTCCGAATTTTCTAAAAGTCTAACAACGCACTTTTGTAAACAAAGCCATCCAGTTTCTGACAATTTTAATATTTTTTTTCGTTCAATTTGAAAAAAATCTTGGAATTCACCCAATATTGCACATCTCTTCGCACTGCCCGAAATATAAGTGGCAACTCCTCTAATCAAATCTTCGCAAGAAGAAGGTAACTTTTTGCAAGCTTTACTGGCTACAATCGCGGATGAAAGGCAAATACAATTCAGTGTTACTAAATTTGGAACTTTTTCTTTAAGACGACTCATAAAAGAATTTTTGCGTCCAATCATAACTGACGCATTATCGGATGCCATTCCAACAATATTTTTTATAGGAATATGTTTTTCTTCTAAACATTTTTTAAATTCTTCAAAAATTTTATTCGCGGAACAATCTCTTGCATCTAAAGATAATAATTCTAATAATTGAGTTGTAATTTTTTTATTTGAAGGTGATACATATCGAACAAGAAGGCACATTAATTTAGTATCTGAGATATCCGTACTCTCATCTATTAGAATAGAAAATTTACAAGTTTTTAAATGGTTTACTACTGTCTCAATTTCCCGTTTTGCAGTGACATTTTTAACAATATTTGCGCACTTATTTTGAGTTAGTGAAAAATTTTGCAGAACTTTGGGATCTTTAAAAATGTCTTTTAGCAAAGGTGATAAATGATCCGCGCATTGAAAGGCTATATTATGCTCAAAAAAAAAAGTTGCTAATTTAATTTCTGCGCGTTTTAATTTCCCCCCTACCCCAAGTCCGCTGACGAGTGATATGGGGCGTCGGTGCAAAGGGTACCTCGGCCGACGACCCCGGAAGCTAGGCCGGCTTCCCTGGCGGGAAGGGCGGTGGAGGGGTCGCAGCCTCCTATGCCCGGAACGTCGGGGGAGTCCCCTCCCGTCGTGGCAACGCCTCCCACGGTGCCCTCGTTGTCGGAGGCGGGGGACCCCCAAAAAACCCGCGGTGCGTTTGCTCCTTGATGGGCAGCGCCCACGGGGGAGTAGGGGGCTGGGACCCGTCCCGTTGAGTTATTCCGGGACCATGGTGTAGTCTGTCCCCCGGGAAAACTCGGGGCCCGGCCGGCCCTCTCTAGGACCGGTCGGTGAGGGCATGCCCTGACAGTTGAGCCGTGGGAGGTGATATTTTATGGAGCCTTTAACGACGAGCTTAGGGAGTGCGGAGAGTCGGGATCGAGGGTCCTCGGCCGACTCTTCGCGAGAGAGAGGGAGTAAAATGCAGACCCGGAGGGGTCGCACAGACGGGTCAATCCCGTCAGCGCTAATAAGTGCGGGGAGCATGGAGGAGAACCTCCAGGGGAAGGACGATTCCCCGATCACGGAGGCGTCGAGACCTGCAAGAGGCAAGCCACCACGGACTACAAAGAAGTCCGTGAGAGGACCGGCTAGCGCCCGAGCGAGGGCCAGTCAGGAATCCCTCCAGGGTTACGACACCGAGTCTGAGGACGAGGGGAAGAAGAAGGAAGCAGCGCGCGCTCTTTGCTCTAAAGCAGAAAAAGAGCTTAGGAAAAGGGAAAGGGCGGCTGAGGAGGCTTCGAACAGGGTAAGTGCGTCATTCGATGAGAAAGACGCGAACGAGAAAACTCTGGATGGAACCCTGCCCTTGAACGTAAATGAGGACGAAGATGACCCCATGGAGGGGGAAACTACGGACGTCTCGGCGTACGAGGAGGGGTCAGACGGACAAATGCGGAGAACCCGGGGTAGACCGGTAACCACTGGTGGTTACGAGATCAAGAAGTACAAGTGGGCGAAACAGGCGAGGGAGGATGAGGAGCGCAGACTGCAAGACCTCAAGAATCCGACGGTTAAGGTCAACCTTTCTAAAAATAGAAAGTTGAAGGAAAAGGTCATGTTGGAGGAACTCAGCAACGCTCCGACAAATGACCTTCCAACGAGGATACTGGAGTCAGTCCAAGCGGTACACAAGATCTGCCAAACCGCAGGAAACCTCAGGGCCTCCTGAGGGACGCGGCGGCAACAATCGTGGCTGCAACGACTCATTTGGTCGGACGGATGAACAACGACCAGTCCCGGATGAGTCGTGACGTAGAAATGGAGGAACTCCGAAATGAGGTAAAACTACTCAGATAGGATAACGAGAGGCTTAATGCCCTTGTACAGAAAGTCATCTCGGGGAAAAAGGATCCCGAGCTGGGCTCGGTGACGATAGACGTGGACGTGAACGACACGCCCCCCCTCCAACTTCGCCAGTAGTGAGGAACAGGGGGAGGGGGAAAAGTTCACGAACGCTCCCTCTGGACTCCTCCTCGGACGAGGATCAGGAAGCTGAGAAGAGGAGAAAGGAAGCGGCCGAGGCAAAGCGCCTGGAAATGCTAAAGGAGGTGCACACTCGAGGGGCGCCTGCCGTCCTGAGATCGGCCGTTGGCGGGGTAAGAACGGTGATCGAAGAAGCCATCCCAGCCGTTCAATCGGAAGAAATGGAGGTGGAAAATTCGACGCAGCCAACAGTAACGGAGGTACATCCCTTCGAAGACAGGCTAAATCGAATAGAGGAGATGATCGCCAAACTGGCAAATTGCGTCACCAAAACGGACAGCAAAAAGACGACGACCCAGTCAGTAGCCAAGGCGGACAAGAAAGGTCAGCAGGTCGTGGCGAAGGATGCCCCCTCTACCAGGAGGACCTTCGTCGCCAAGAGCGACAAGAAAGTAGGCGGGGGAAAAGCAACCAAACCTGCACCCTCATACGCGGGGGCTGTTAAGAGTTTGGCGAAAGGACCAAGAGCAGGAAGTAAACAGTGCCAAGGGAAGTACCAAAGTTCCGAAAGCACCGACACCCCCAGCGCCATCAAAGGACAATTGGATCAAGGTGGGTAAAAGGGGAAAAGCGGTAAAAAGCATGGCGGCGGATAGGAATGAGGAAAGCGGTGGAGCTCCTAAAAACATCAAGGGAAGCAACCCCGCTCCCAAACCTGCACCGAAGGCAATACCGGCCAGACAGGCCAATCAGGCCAAAGCGAAGACTGGTAAGATCAAGCTACCGCGGAGCGCGGCCGTAACCATCACGAGTGCCGGAGGTAATTACGAGGAAATTTTCAAAGAGGCGAGAAATAAAATCAAACTCGCGGACCTTGGAATTACAACGGATTTGAAGCCGAAGAGGGCCCAAACTGGAGGTCTGATTATAGAGATCCCCGGAGCGGGCAACTCGGATAAAGCGGACATCCTGGCCGAGCGCCTGATAGGGGTGTTCGCGGACAGGCCAGATATCAAGATCGCCAGGCCGACGAAGACCGCCGAGATTAGAGTCATGGACTTGGACGATTCAGTCTCGGCGGAAAAGTAGGCGGTGGCCATTGCGGAGCTGGGTGGTTGCCCGCCGATGCAGGTTCAAGCGGGCCAGCTGAGTAAGGGCTTGAACGGCCTATTTACGGCGTGGGTAAAATGCCCGCTGCGGGCGATACGGGCCATCCGAGAAGCAGGTAACAAGCTGCAGATCGGGTGGTTCGTTGCCCGGGTGCAGGAGCTCCCTGCGAGACCCCTCCAGTGCTTCAAATGCCTGGAGGGGGGCTACGTCAGGGCCCAATGCCCCAGCAAAACCGATTGCAGCGATAGGTGCTACCGATGCGGGGGCACCGAGCACCAAGCGAAGGACTGTCGCGAATCCCCTAACTGCCCTGTCTGTGCTTGGGGAGACGAGCGAATCACCGGGCCGGGGGCAAAGCTTGCACCTCGGCCAGGAAAAAGACGAAGCCCAAAGCCTCGTCGTCCGCGCCAGTCACTCGGCAACCCCCAGCCCGAAGGGGAAAGAAGGGTGAAGAACAAATGAACGTGGACGAGGAATCTGGGACTCCACCCAGGCCGGGGCCAAGGGTCATCGGCAACGAGGTGGTGAATTGGAAAATTCCCGGCAAACAGGCCGTCAAGAGGACGGCCGAGGAAACCGCGGGTAGCGACAATTTGGTCAAAGAAAGGGAGGAGTCGAGACCAAAGGCCCAACGAAACCTGGGAAGCCCACCGACCAACCGTCGGCGTATAGGCCGATCTGCTTGCTGGACGAAATCGGAAAGTTGTTCGAACGAATAATCGCCGATCGACTCGTCCGGCACCTGTCCCGGACTGGGCCTAATTTATCCGAGGCCCAGTACAGCTTTCGGGAGGGTCACTCGACCATCGATGCGATTAAACGCATCGAGACCCTCCTGAGGGCCGCGGTGGAGGCCGGCAGGGTGTTACTCGGCGTCAGTTTCGACGTCGCCAACGCGTTTAACACCCTGCCATGGCCGGTAATTAGGGAGGCGCTTCTGTACCACAGAGTGCCTCCCTACTTGGTAGCCGTAATTTACGACTACCTCCGGGACAAGGAATTGGCCTATACGGACCAGGATGGAGTGGTTCGTACAAGGCTGGTCGTGCGGGGGGTTCCGCAGGGGTTGGTCCTCGGGCCGCTCCTGTGGAACTTAGGATACAATTATGTCCTACGAATCGCCCTCCTCCCGGGATGTTGGCTCAACGGCTTCGCCGACAACACATTCCTGGGAGTCGAGGGCGATACATGAGAGGAGGCTCTAGCCCGCGGTAATGTTGCAGTGGCGGCGGTCGTGGCCGCGATGAAAAGGCTGGACTTGAAGGTGGCTCCCCAGAAGACGCAGGTCGTTTTTTTCCACGACAGGTCAAAGGGGAGACCGCCTCGGGCCCACATAACGGTCGAGGGAGTCCGAGTCGCCGTGGGGCCCAGCATAAAACTGCTGGGCCTCTGGCTGGACGAAACCTGGAATTTCAACGAGCATTTTGTTCGCCTGACTCCCAGGGTGCAGGTTGTGAGCAACAGCCTGGCAAGACTGATGCCAAACCTGAGAGGGGCGAGCGGTCGGGCTCGCCGGCTCTACGCGGAGACCATAAATGCCGTGGCATTGTACGGTGCCCCGATCTGGGCACCGGTAGCGGAGCGGTCGAGCCGCATCAGGACGCGGTTGCGACAGATGCTGCGGCCGATCGCCCTGAGGGTGGCCAGATGCTACAGCACGGTCTCACACGCGGCAGCGACGACTGTCGCGGGACTTCCCCCGCTGGAACTCGTTGCCCGTCGGCACGCCAATGTGTACGAGCGCGTGCGGAGGCTGAGGGAGGGGGGAGGACCCGCGAGAGACCTGCCCAATCCCAGGCGGATTCCTCGCAATCGGATTGAGTGCGAGGCAAGGCAACTCGACTCGCCTCGCGACACCCCTAAGTAAGGGGGTGTCCGTGGTCGCTAATACCAGCGGCACGAGAAGTACAGGAGGTTCGGCGTCCCGGCGGGACTAACGGGGCGCCGAATAGACTCCCACCAAAAACGGGAGGAGTGGCGGGGTGAGGTGGTGTCACACCCCGTCACAACATCGATAAAGGATCGGCCGTAAGGCCGCGAGCAAGTACAAGCTCGAGAGAAGCGACCCTTTCGAGGCTCGGCGCAGAAGGCGCCCCGGACGCAATGATAAACAGTTCCCGGGGCGTCTTCACATGCGCACGGTCGGACACTCGTGAGGTTTTAGTGGGTAGGCTACGGTGAGTGCAGGGTTTATAGCCCGGCTCCCGTAGAATCCCACACTCCCCCCGTCCTCATCCCGGAGGGCGGGGGGTGTTTCCCTCCACAACACCCAGAAGGGCCCCGGGCCACAGACCTGACCAACTCTGAGTCGGTCAGGGAACCCAGGGTTGAAGATTTCCTCACGTTAAAAAAAAAAAAAAAAAAAGGTTAGGTTGTAACCGGGCCGATGAGTGATACCCCCCTTATGTTCAAAAGGTGTGTCTCCGACACGGTCGCCACTCGATTTTTACCCAACAAACCGAGAAAGGATTATTTCGGATATATTGAATTTCCCAACCTTTATTACGCCCCGCTGATTCCTCTTTCCTTTTTTCTGTTTCAGGTCGCCCTTTGCCGCCGGATCTAGGATCGCCGCTAGGATGTACGGCGGTTGGCCCGCTGTTGCTGCTTCCGCCTTGGAGGTCGCGTTTTTCAGCATGCGGTCCACCGTCGTCTTCTTCCTTTTTCTCGGTGGTATGATCGGCTGCTCCAAGACTTTGTCCTCTCGCACCACCGGACCCTGCTTCCTCTGCGAGGCAGACGACACGGTCGCAGCCACCGGCTGCACACTCCCCGTCAGTGGGGAATTGCTGCTTGCCGCCGATTCCTCGCTCTCGAGCTGGATCGTGTCAGATTGCCTCGAGCGCTTAGCGTTGCGCTTGTCGCGTCTCTTCGCGAGGTCCTCGGTGTGCTCCACCTGGAGCACTTCTCGCGTCTTTTCCGTCGACTTTCTTGCCGCCGCTCGTCTGCTGGTCCTCTCGGTCACAGTTTAACCATAACCAGTTACGACAGTCACCGAAATTTTCCGCATAATTTTTCAAGACGCATGCGTCAATTTTACTATCCAAAGTATGGCGGCGCCCAGAAACAGAGTAACTGCGTGTAAAGAGGTTATATTTTTGTGTGATTAATTTTCCAGTAATATTAAGCAATTTGGAAATATTATTAAGTAGTAAAGATCATTTTTAGTGCGTTTTCCTTAATATCATTTATTTTCTAGTCAGTAATAATGAGTAAGAAAGGTGGATTTTCCTGCGTCATGTGCAAAAACATATCTGGACGAAATGCAGGAATAAAGTTTTTTCGTTTTCCAAACGATCCAGAAATGTAAGTTAAAATTTGTTGTAAATATTTAATGATGCAGATTGATTTAGTAGTTTATATAATGATATTAAAATTGTGTAATTACTTTTTTGCATAGGTCTAGATTATGGCTCAAAGCTTGCAATCGTACGATAAATAGAACAACAGAAGAACTGTATAAAAATTATCGAATTTGTAGTGTTCATTTCAACGAGAACATGTATCTCAATGACTTAAAAACTAGACTCTTACCTCGAGCTATACCTATACAGACTGCAATACAGACCTCAAACATAACAAATCCAAACTGCGACACTGACATTATTTCACAAGGTAATATTCTTTACTTTTTACTCAATTATAAGTGACACTAATAATTTTTTATCACAGAAAGTACAGAATCTCGACAGCAATTTCATCAGGATGAATCAGAAATAGAAACAAATAAATTATATGGACAAATGGAATTAACTGAAAGCAATAATTTCAGTAAGTTTTAAATATCAGAGATGAATACAATAATTTGAAATGAATTAATAATTAGCAATAAAAAATATAGGATTGTTAATAAATTACAAAATATATTAATTACTTTTAGTTGGTACAGTGAAACACATAATTAATAAAAATTACTATGTATTAATTGTTATTTGTAGCTGATGGAATGCTAATATTATCAGAGGAGCGTAATATTTCAAGAGAAGAAATTAAGGAACTTGATTTTTCAAAAGTACTCAGCAAACAAATACAAACGCCTCAGAAGTTGTCTCACGATACACCAAGAATGAATAAACTAAAAGCAAGAATTATATCATTACAGCGAGAAAAAAGAAAGTTGAAAGAACAGTTAAAAAGTGCACTTGAAAAAACAAAAATTAAGGAGAATTTAGAATACTACTGTCAGCTAACCGATAAATTTTTATCTCCTTCTATAGTAGCTTTGGTGAAGGAACAAGCTAAATTAAACCAACAATCAATAAAAGACAGGAAATATTCTATGCAATTTAAACAATTTTGTCTTAGTATCTATTTTGCTGGTCCAAAGAGTTATAAAGTATTGCGTAAGGAACTATTATTACCAAGTCCGAGAACTCTTCAGCGATCAATTGAGTCGTTACAAATATCTCCCGGACTTAATGATTTAGTCTTCGATATGATTAGGAGAAGGATTGTCAATTTTACATCGCTAGATAGGTTATGCGTAATTTGTATCGATGAAATTGCTTTAAAGGCTAATCTTTATTATAATATTAGTCAAGACGAGGTTATAGGATTTGAGAATCTTGGACATGAAAAGAAATTTTTGCCAGCATGTAACGCGGCCGTAATTATGATAAGAGGAATCTGTACATCTTGGAAACAACCAATTGCTTATTATCTATTGAATTCAACTTTTAATGAAGTAGACGTACAAAATGCTGTACAAGAAACAATCAGAAGATTACAGTAGATTATCGGTTTAAAAGTTCTTGTACTTGTCACAGATATGGGTAAAAACTATCAAAATATGACAAAGCGGCTTGGTATAAGTTCTGAAAAACCATATTTTGACATTGATGGTGAACGTATTCATTATTTAGCCGATCCACCACATTTGATCAAAATTACAAGAAATAATGCTTATATTAACAATATTAAATATAATAATGGTCACCAAATTTCTTGGGATTATATTGTAACTCTTTACAATTATGACAAAAACCAACCAAATCGATTAGCTTATAAACTAACAGATACTTATGTTCAACCATCAGGGTTTGATCGAATGAAAGTGAAATATGCTGTTCAGACCTTAAGTGCTACGGTGGCAGCTGCCCTGAAAACATTATACGTTCTAAAAATCCTATCAGTAAATGCATTGGCAATCATCGAATTTATTGAAAAATTTGATAGTTTGTTTGATATGTTCAATTCCTCCACGGTAACAGATAAGAAAAGTCATAAGCAAGCTTTTACTGGAGCACAACATCAATTACAATTTTTACAGAAAATGTTAGATTATTTGTCAAGCTTAAAAGTTTTTTCGAAAAAAGGAAAAGACATCTCAAATCAGGTGCAGGTTTTTAAGTTTTGGGTACTTAACATAAAATCTTTGCAGTCACTGTGGACTTATATACAAAGCACTCTGCCAGATATTAAATTCTTGCTCACGAGACGATTAAATCAAGATGCATTGGAGAATTTTTTCGGAAAAATTCGAACTTTGAACGGCGCGGCGTATACCGTTACGCCTTCACAGTTTCATTTCGGTTTTAGAAAATTATTCTCTACAATTTATTTAACGACGGGAACTGGAAACTGCTGAAGATCGCGACTTAATGATTATGGACGTTGCTAATTATAGAGCTCAAAATGTACATGCTAATGTGAATCAGCAAGATAAAGGGAAAGCAATTTTAATTGATGATCATGATTACCGAGAAATAAGTCTACCGGAGCAAAATGCTTTCCGTTATGTTTGTGGATATTTGATGCGAAAGTGCATCGTAAAACATTCCTGTGATATTTGCCTTAAGTATGCGAGAGAATATGTAGACGTAAATAATAATTCATATTATTGTTTTTTTCGAGCTTACGAATCAACAGAAAATAATTTATTTGGCAGTTTGTTCATGCCAACTGATGATTTTGTTACACATATAAAATCTTTGGAAGACATCTTCTTCCAAAATATAGAAACCTTAATATTAAGAAAAGGTGTTGTAGCTAATTTGATTGAAACATTTGCTCATGTACCATTTGAACATCTATGTTCTTCCAAAAGAATATTTGATAAGACTGTTTGCACGAGTCCGTCTTTTTTTTACTTTAAGAAATATTAATACTACATTTAAAACTCAACGAGGACACAGGAAACTAATAATTTTGAAACATTAATTACTATTTCATATTATTTCTAGGAAACTTTCAATTCACTACATATTAAAAATTTTATTTATATTTTGTAAACTAATTCAGCTTTATATGTGATATTATTTATTACTATTTTCATTTTTCTAGAAAGATATATATGCGATATAGTTTCTTTTATGTTAAATATATTATTTTTTGTTGAATGCATATATACATATATGTGATATAATATGTATGCGATATAGCTTATTTTTAATGTTAAATACATCATTTTTTGTTAAATACATATATACATATATGTGATATAATATGGTATGTGATATAGCTTTTATGTTAAATACATTATTATTATTTTCTGTATGGTATAATTCAATATGCTGTTTCAGACATTAGAAATGGTTAACATGTGCATTCATAAATAATAAATATGAATTAAATACATTAAAATATAAAATTAAGTCTAAGGCCGGTATTCATAGTCCGATCTGATGATAAAGAATTTTATAGAAAAATTCAAGGCTGTATCATTCCTCACCGTCACAATGATAAAGATCATTACAAATTTGTTTTAAGATGCTATGTAGGAAATGAGATATTTTATTATCATCACAGATAAATTTAAGACAATTTTCAATGTTAATCCATCTATAAATGCCGACTTTAGTATTATATTTGAATTAATTTTTCTCCTCTTTTTACAGCAGAATAAACATGAGAATTGCTTTACCAATGCAATTGAGAGAAAACATCATTTCATTGGAACAATCAAGGGAACAATCATTTAAAAATTGTAAATATTTTTTAGCACATTGTCCATCAACTGTTAACTAATCATTGAAAGTTTAAAATAATATTTTTTTATTACATCCTGAAATGTGTGTGTTTAATTATATTATTATTATTTAACCTCATTTTATAATTCAATTTTTCCTAACTTTTTCCGTAATTTTTTTCACCTATTTACCTATTTTATCAATTAGAAGTCTACGAATATACAGAAGAAATTTTCAAGTCAACTTTTTTTACTTTACTCCTTCGAATAACGCGTTTTTTTACTATCGAAAACATGGCGGATGGTCACGTGACTGGGTAACACGAACATCAAAGGTTCCGACTTTACTGTCGTAACTGGTTATAGTTAAACTGTGTCTCGGTTGTGACCGTAATATCCTGCTTCTGCGTATACTTCATCCGCAGGTTTGTCACTCGTCCACTTTTCGTCGATTCGCGATCTTCCCGGTCGCTTTCCGATTCGCTCAAGTCACTATCGCGCACAGATCGTGTGTCCGTCAGTGCCGTCGCTCCCCTTCTCTCCTCCTCGGCGCTTTCGTCGCTATTGTCTTCTCCCCCGGCGGAGATGATGGCTTGGCCGTCGTCCTCCTTGCTGGTTCCTGGTCGAGGTGACGCGGCTCCGGCATATTCCTCCGTCGGTTCTCCCGGCTGTGCGACCTCTCGTACCGGAACATCGCCCAGAATGTATTCCGGTGTTTTCATTACCTTGGCAGCGTTGTTTGCGCCGTTCTCCGTCGCTTTGCCGAGTTCATCGATGATTTTCGCCTCGACGGTGACGTTGTCACCGTTCACCTCGATCACAAGCCGGAAGGGTGGTCTCTCCCCGTCGTCCGTATACCTAGCGGACAGCGCGAGCATCGCGTTTGCCTTCACGGTGTCATCGGCGGGGTCCCTTATTTCGACGTCCAGGCACCGCCCGAACTGCCGGCCCTTTGTTCTCTCTAACGCGAGAATCGCTTGGAGCATCTCTTGATTCTCGGCTATCTCGCGCTGCATTGCCTCGTGATCCGCCACATACGGATCGTTTGACAAGTTGCTCGCATATTGCTCCGCCAACTCGAGCATCATGTTGATTCTTTTCTGCTGCTCAGCGGCCACACGGTTGCTGTTCACCTTCTTCATCACTGTTTCGCGACGTTCGCGGTTTTTTCGCTGTAGCTCCTCCATTTTCCGCGCGTTATGCGGTTCGGCTTTACGCGGGTGTTCGCGTTTCCGTGGCTTACGTGCGAGTGTTCTGGCCCTTCGAGAGCTCGTCACAGTCGAGATCTTCGCGCTCCCCACTTCTTGTTTACGTCGCGCGCTCCGGAATTCCGCGCGTGCCACCTGTCGCACATGTGTCGCGCTCCGAATTCTCGCACGTACCGAGTGCGTCGTACGTTTCGCGCTCCGTAATTTCTCACGTACCGCGTGTCTCGCGCGTTTTGCACTTCTTCTCGCGGCTTTCTTTCTAGTCGACTTGGTTTGAAACTTGGCGAACCTCTCGTTGCCGTCGCGCTTCTTTTGTTTCGCGCGTAATTTCGCACGCCATTTTAATGTCTTTGGATTACGCGGTTTTCGCGATTTTCGCGTTTTTCGCGCACTCGCGTTATCGTTTTCGCCGCGTTCGATTGTCACTTCTTGTTTTATCGTTATGCTCACTGACCTTTCTTTTTTGATTTTCAGGTTCAGCGGTTCTTCTTCCGGGATGTCTCCTCTGCCGTATACCAGATGTATTTTTCTGGTCAGTTTTCGGCTGGCAACTGATCTTCGGTGTAGTTTTACCCAGATTTGT